ATATGAAATAGAGAGAGAGAGAAAGAGACAGGAGCCAGAGGAGAGCAGCGAGAGATGATGAATGAGAGACGCCATGTAGGACGCACTGAACCATATGGGAAGAGCAGAGGAAGAAATCTGACGGAATTGGAAAAGAGAAAACAGGATGAGTAGGCACTGACGAGAGCAGTGAAACGTCTGTGTGGTCCGGGAAGACACTATTGACCATCAAGCGAAACAGCAAGAGATTCCCGCCTCTATAAAACATACAACACACGGAGCTCGCGCAGAACAGCGTGTCGTGGCTTTGAAGTTGTGCGCGTTGAGTTGACGTGTTTTTTGACAGTGGTTGGTCATAGTTCATCTTTTGATTTGAGTGTGGGGTGACCTGATTCTGTCGGCCCCAAGCTCATGAATAATCGAAAACAAACTATCATATACTAACACATTAATGCATTCTGCCATGCACAGTACATAGCCTTCAATGTGTCCGTCATCTGAACTTGTGTTGCGCATCGAGAGTCACAGATCAGATTGCCAATGTGCCCTGTTTTGTTTTACAGATTTTTTTTTTTTTTTTTTCAGATTTTTCATAAGTTACAGTGAAGAATAATTTTTCATTTTTAGTTTTTTCGTTTCGTTTTTTTTTTGGGGCTATAAAATTCCACAATCCTGTGTGCGGTTAAGTGGTCGGTTGAAAGAATAAAAAAATCACATTTGACAGAGCAGCTGGAGGTAAATTAATTTACAAATGTCCTTTTTTTTAAACTTATGATTCCATTTCCAGCAAAAAATGTCCATTGTAATCATTAAATATCCACTTGGTTATTTCTAAAGCTCATCTGAATTTGTTCTAGATCATTAGACGTGACATTGTACTACCTTGGATGCCTTAGGAGGGGCCTTCATGCAAAAATCATTGACTGACTGAGCAGCTGAATTCGGTTTTGGTCGCACAGCCTGTGAGCTAATGCATGTTCTCATAGAAATACGTACCTCTGTGTACTTTTTGTGCAACACCGTTTTTACGTACCTTACTGCACGTTTCGCCGCAGTTTCAAAGAGAAATGTCCACTGAGTGGCGCTAAAACACTGGCACGTTTTTATTACGTTGATATAGGTACATATTGCTGTGTTTTTATTACGTTGCTTCGTATTGCGGCGGTTCAGAATTCAAATATCCGGGGATTGTCACTAAAAGTTAATGCTCTTTCGTGTTGGAGATATGCCCTACACCAAACCCAACCCTAAACCTACCCGATAGTGTTAACAAATGCAAAACTTATATAAAAACGCATTTGTTGATGCAACCGCGCCATTTCAATTTCCTTAAATGCAGATTTGAACTGTTCTGTAGAACCGTGCTTACACAGGATTCAAACCAGAGCTCCTCACCTCTCAAGTACGTCTCCATACAACGTGAGCTACCGAACAAACCTACCGTCTATGAAAACCCATACATATGAAGCTGGATATGTGCGATGCTAACGCTCAAAAGCATCAGTTTTCAAATCTCCCAGCATATTAATATTGTTTTGAAGTCCTAACATGATATTCTTCAAGTAATTGTGCAAAAATTACACTTTATTAATCAAAACTCTGTAAATTAGTGTGAAAAGGAAGGAATAAAAGGTGTCGGAGTTTTACTGCCTCTAGTGTTCATTTCTTTTGGAAACTGCAGTGATATGTACTTATTGGTACGTATTTCACGTCTCGCTAAAAAGTGCCCCCAGGTACGTTTATGCCATGAGACCAGGTAGTGCATTTCTGTGTGTACGTATGTATGTGTAAGAAAGGAGAGCGAGAGGTAAACCTCACGGGCAGATCACCCTCGTGAGGCTCAGTGTCACTTGATGATAAAGACTGAATTCAATTATTTAGCAACACATGCAGAACAGACAGCAGCTCACTGTCCCTCCTCTAGGGATGAAGTGCGTGTCTGCCAGAGTACATCTGCTCTGAAAAAGCTGAATTTATGACTCAAATAGTGGTAATGAAATGCCAGAGTAATTAGCATCTAATGATAAACGTAAACTAAGATGCTTCTTGGAGATTTTGAGCCTAAAATAGCAGGTATACAGCATTCTTTGCATTTAGATTTATAACTCCTGAGTGTGTTTGTTCATCATTTACTCATCCTCATGTCATTCTAAACCTGATTTTTTTTTTTTCTTTGGTCAAACAGATGGAGAGATTTTAAAGACAGTTTTCTGTGTTTTTTTTCTTTTCTTTCTGCAATTACAGTGGACAATGATTGAGATGTTCAAAACACAATTCAAAACCCATTAAAACCATTTGAGAAACAGATGGAAGTTGTCATTCACATTAAAGGAATAGTTCATCCAAAAATGAAAGTTCTGTCATCATTTACTCACCCTCATGTTGTTCCAAACCAGTCTTTCTTCTGCTGAACACAAAAGAAGATATTTTGAAGAATGTATGAAACCAAACAGTTGACGGTCCCCATTGACGTCCATAGTATATATATCTTTTTTCCATACTATGGAAGTTTATGGGGGACTGTTACCCATATTCTTCAAAATATCTTCTTTATTGTTCCACAGAAAAAAGAAACTCGTCCAGGTTTGGAAAAACTTAACTGAGTAAAGGATGACAGAATTTTCCTTTTTTGTGTGGAAAAAAAAATGAGCCCCAGCTCTCATTAGAACGTTCAGATCTTTCCAGTGAATTTGTTAGAATTTGTTATTTTGGTTTACAAAACTGGTATGAATGATTCGCTCAGAATTGATCAAGTTCTTGAGTTCAACTCACTGACTCAATAGTTGCAATAGTTAACAACTCGGTGGAGGGGAAAATTACCAATGAATAACAACATGAATATTGAGCACAAGTTGTATAGTCAGCATCTATAATGCTTTTCTTGCTTTTGCATCTTTATTTTGAAGCTTGAAAGCTTCAGTTCCTGTTCATCATAATTGCATTTACAAGAAATATCAACACAGGCTGCAGAGCATCTCCTTTTGTGTTCCATAAAGAAAGAAAGTCAAATGGATTTGGAATGACACGAGGCAGAGTAAATTATGATTTTTTTGGGGGGTGAACTATCCCTTTAAACGAAACCATCAGTGCTTGTGGTTTGATTAAATGAGACTGGAAACCACAAAGTCGTCCCAGTCTTCTCCCCAAGTGTGTGCGGTTGTAGGCGCTTCTGATAATGCACATGCGGGCCTCGTTCAACAAGGAATGATGGAGAGTTTTGACTTCAATTAATTCTTCATCATTACATTAATTAATCTAAATCTATAGTTAATTAATTATGCAGTGTATTTTTTCTTGTGCATGTTTAAAAAGTCAAAAGGGTTGTTGGATGATGTTTTAAATTGGAAAATTAATATTCATAACTCCTAATGAAGTTTCTAGAATGACTCTCGATTCATGGCTTTACTGAGATTTAATTAACAATCCTGACAGCCGACACCTTTGACAGAATGGGTGGCATAATCGAGCTGCGTGGAGTGACTTATTGTTCGAACACGATAAAACATACAAACATTCATATCTGGCCAGCGCTGAGCTCTCTTAAGATCCTCAAAGACAAAGACATCTCATAATATGCCATTCACAAATTATCCTGGCAAACATTAGGAGTAAAACTGCTTAAGTGTGAAAATAATGTCATGCAAGACTGAGCAGTAATGAATATATTAGGACTCGGGCATCTGATCTAAGGTCAAAGGAAAATTTGCAGCAGCATTTATAGACCCCGTAGAATTTTCAATAATTGCTGTCCTGTCATAAAAGTTTAACCCTCAATCCGTGATATTGATGCCAGACATCGACCGGCAAATAATTTAATCACATTACTAGAGTGGGAGATTTATTACACTTTCTCTTATTTTTCTTTTTATTATTTATTTATTTATTTATTTATTTATTTATTTTTGTGCACATTATTGTTTCATTTGCTTGTGTGGAATTGTTCATACATTTTCTGAGTGGTTTTGGTTTCCGTACAGTTTTTAGTATATTCTGGGAAGTTGCTAGGCAGTTGCTCTTAGTTTTTTGATAGGAGTTCTCCTCAAGTCTGATATTCTGGGCTTTCAGTGTACATCTATGTGACGTTTCACCCCGTTTAGCTTAATACTGTTTATTACGGCTGTCTTTGTTTGTAGGAACACATGAAGAGTTAATTTGCAAAAACCGATAAACGCCACTTTCAAAAAGAATGAGCTGATTGCCGTGAATTATTCTTCACATATAGCGCGATCTGAACCCTAACATCTGAGGAGATTACAAAGATTAAACGAGTGTTTTTTTAAACTCTAAAACATGAAATGTGGAGTTATCTGCTTTTGCCAAAAAAACGACTGTTGGAGTTATCTGCTTTTGCTATAAAACAAACTTTTAATATGCAAAAAAAATAACATACTTTCAATGAACTTTAATTTTGTAAATTACCTGTATTTGTTTAAGTTATTACTTAATCAAAACAACCCAAATGCAGTTTGACTGATATTACTTGGAATGTGCAATAAAAAAACGTGATTTCTGGAAAAAAAATAAAAATGGAGTTATCGGTTTTTGCAAATTAACTCTTTACATGCTGTTAAATATGTGTGTATCTGTGCTCTCAGTGATGCTGTCTGTGGTCCTGAAAGTCCACAGACTGCACAGACACGTGGTCTCCAGACTGATCAAGTTATATTCATATCAGCACTCGTGTGTGTGAACTCTGCATGACCTCAGCATCCTCCACTGAGTACGTTTAACCCATCACTGCAGTCAGTCAGCACGCTGACCTTTATCACCTCATGCTTGAGTACGCTAGATGAAAATAGTCAATTTGCTCCAGAAGCTTGTATAATCCTCATATTCTGATTGATCTTGGGTCAATCTATATACGCACTACTGGTCAAAATTTTGGATTTTTTTTTTTTTTTAAATAAGTCTCTTATGCTCACAAAAGCACAATCAGTAATATTGTGGAATATTACAATTTAAGATAACCATTGTCTCTTTTTAATATATTTTAAAATATAATTTATTCCTGTGATGGAAATGTAGTGCATGAGCATGTAACCACACCTATTACGGAGTCTTTTGTGGGATTATGTACACAAAGCAGTGTGTGTGAAAAGTGTCTAAATCAGCGCCCACCATCTCTCCGAATCAACCTTCTCCGGCCGGGCCCCCATTCCTCACCCTTACATGGGCTCCGCAAGGCCCTTCCCATCCCGCCATCAGTTCTCTCAGATGGAGCCGTTGACGGGCGAAGGGGTCTTTTCCATCGCCACGCTGAGGGGCTTTTTAATTTAAGGTAATTAATTGCTGACCTCGTTTGATGCGGCACTTTATGAGTCTTTGGCGACAGCCTGTGATTTTCTGTAGCTGCTAGTGAGAATTCCTGCAATGATGCTGGCGCAACTGAGAACGAGCAGAAGATTGTATGAAAGAAAGCGATGGAGGGAAAGGTTGTTGTGATGTGATCCGAGGGGGAAAACACAGAAAGGATCTGGTGCTTTTCAAAAGAGACAAGTGATTTCCCCTGTCTGCCGTTCTTCCTGCTCTGGTGGAGGCTGCATGCCTCCGTCTGTCTCCAGACTTGACTGTCAGGGGCATCCACTCCATTTAATCAAACAGATTTTTGTGATTGCATTCGCCTCCATGTTCCAGAGAGAGAGAGGGAGAGATGGAAAGAGGGAAGTGGATAGTGTTGTGGATCAGTAAACCACCTAGTGCCACAGTGTTTGCTGACAAAGTAAATCACACACACATAAGAGACGAGCATTACGAAAGCACTTCCAACTCGTCTCTTTCTCTCTCTCTCTCTCTCTCTCTCTCTCTCTCTCTCTCTCTCTCTCTCTCTCTCTCTCTCTCTCTCTCTCTCTCTCTCTCTCTCTCTCTCTCTCTCTCTCTCTCTCACCTCGCCTCTCTCTCTCTCTCTCTCTCTCTCTCTCTCTCTCTCTCTCTCTCTCTCTCTCTGTCTTTCTTGCTCACAAAAACTGAAAATTCTGTCATTGTTTGCTAACCCTGATGTCTGTTTATGTGGTAGAACACAAAAGGAGATATTTAAAGCACTGTCCAAGCTGCTCTTTTCCATATAAGGAAAGTGAAGGGAAACCACAGCTGCTGAGTGGGATTTTTAGTAATTAATGTCTTGTTTCCTACACAAAGCTATCATATGACTTCAGAAAACATGGTGGTGGTGGTTTTTTGTTTGTTTTTGTTTTGTTTTTTTAGCTTGACCAGCCGCCGTCTACTTTTGTTGAGTATGACTTTAAAACTTCTCATTCTGTGATCCATGGAAGAGTCTTGACCAACATGAGGGGAGTAACCGATGACAGAATTTTTATCTGTCTCTTTAACTCTATTTTACCATGCACAATGCATGTGAAACGGCCCGTGGTGTGTTTTAGCAAATTATTTCATCTTCAAAAAGACAGTAATGCTAGTATTTGTGAGGCAGCCTTAAATTAGAGCATAGAATCTCTTGCTACATTTGATAGAAGTATAACAGGGGAAACAACTGAAATCAATAGACGGGGAGGAGAAACTCAGCCTCCCTCTGACTGGCCCAGACAGAAATGTCTCTCTATTCATAGAGGAATGAATAAGAGTCATGTTCACAGTACAATAACATAGAAATGGAAAATGTGGGGCAGAATGGCACTTAGCACAAAGCGGGGGTCTCTGGAAATGGACGGGGTTTAGTGGCCCATATGGTGCCTCTAAAAGTGTGTTCACACCAAAGGCAATTCAATTGCATGAAGTCACCAAGACGCAAATTGCAAGTCTGATCACTTAGTAAAGTAACAGCACACCTCACCTCTCAGAAACTGTTGTGCATTGAAAGTTATACAGTACCATGTGTAATACATTCAATTGAGGTTTTCTGACATGACGTGGGTCGTGTGAGCTTTACTGTCTGCTCTCCCATTGATATTTGTCATTTTCATTTGAATATCAATCATTGTGATCCTGGTGATGGTGTTGCTTTGCTGGAATGAAACTGATCTGAAAATCAGCAGGTCCTCTGTTGGACTTGTAGCCTAACCCACCCAGAATTAGTGTGCACAGAACTCGCTGTAGAATTTTGAACGTTCATCATTTACAAATCAGAACATAAAATGTGAAAAAAGTCAGCAGGTTCCGTCTGGGCTTCTCATTGATATTGAAACCCACTCGTTACCCATTTCTGTGGTGTCTCACATCCTCCTCCCCTTCAGCCCATTTTCTTTTCAATGATTTAAGCCGTCGGACTGCCGGGAGTACGAAGCCGGCAATGATGACGACAGCAGCGCTTTATTTATGCACACATGAAGCTCTGTCGGCCGTTAATTAGTAGAAGTAATTGGTAAGTACTACTAAATATAGAGTTGAACAAGCCTTGTTTGGAAGTTTGATTTAAAAAAAAAAAAAAAAAAAAAACCTTTGAAAGGTTTTAAGTTTTATTGACCAGATGAATGAATGGATGGATGGATGTTTAAATTTGCCACCTAAAGAATTTTTTTTGTAAAAAAAAAAGATATGTTTCATCATATTTAATAAATTCACTTTTGTGGACCAGGGTGGAAGAACATTTCATTTCCCAGAATGCATTGCCTGTATTGAATTTCTTTGAATTGTAATTCAGGAATTTCCTCTATCTATGTTCCCAGTTCCAGAGCCAATTCTTCAATTCTGAATTTTGCCCAACCGTGATGTCTGCAATGTTTCAGAATAAGATTTGACTACTAACTCTGATATAGAAACATGCACTTTTCATGATCCATCTATTTTAGATGGATAAATTCAGTTTGCTTGCTCTATTCTTTCTCACTTTGATTAAATATCTTGTTTCACTTAGAAATACACCAGATTGCTGATGTAAAACACAGTTGAACTAACCGAACATGTGGTTTTGTTTTATCTTCCTCCTGCTGCTGGAATATTTTCTGTATTTTTGAGGTTTTTAGTTTGCAGTTTAAGTATTTAAATGCCTACAACATTTTCAGCCTGAATTTGTGCACAATATCCTGCAAAGCGTACTTCGCATCCATACTGTGGTGTAATGCCTTGAGCGGTGTGTTGCAAACCCACTGTGGGTTCCGTTATCTCCACTAAGCTTCGGTTCTCGTCTACATCTCTTCTCTCTTCTTCCATCCTGGCCCGGCAACTGCATGGACTCCATTATCCTCCCGCAGCAGATTTCGGTTCCAGAGCACGTTAAATCTCCAGCAGGGATCAGGGTAAACAAATAAACAGGTAAATCAGCTTTTACCAAGTCTGCCGCTGAGAGCTCCCCTTGTGCTTTGATCACATCTTCCTCATAATCTCTCTCCTCTACTCCGGCTTTGATTGCAGTGTAAGTCAGAGTCTCGTGCGAGTCGGAGACAGCGATTATGCCACTTCATTCTTAATAGCGCCGTCTGGAGAAGGCCTTGCGCTCGTATTGGTGGAGATGAACATCAGTAAGCAGGCGGAACCCGCCTCCGTGATCATGGAAAAGCGAGGCGCCGCTCTGTGAAACCCTCGGGAGAGAGATGAATCATATCAGCACCGGTGTGTGTTAAAGGTGCTGACCGCTCGTCTGCCACAAACCGCCCTCAGCGAGAGTGTGTGTGAGATGAACGCAAAGAGAATGATTAGCCTGCTGCTCACATTGAGGATAGAAGGGCATCGGGGAGGAAATTGGAAAGGCTCTTTTTTACTTTTTCAGGCATTTTAAAATTAGTATTAAAATTAATACTATGTTCTAAGACATACTCCATGCAGATGTTTGTAGCACAATTCCATGCGTCATTGTTTTCCAAAATCTGTCAGAAAATCATAACGTGATGCATTTTCAGGGTTTCCACAAGGGGTGCTATAGCTGCCATCACTACAAAAACTTCTACGGTCAATTTTATCTTTCAGGTCATTTCCTTTAGAGCAAATAATCTCAATTAGAAAGGTGACATGATTGTACACTGCAAAAAAATCAGTTTTAATGACATTTTATACTGAATTTCATTTAAAATATATATAGATAACTTGAAGCAATACTGCTTAATATATTAAGGCTTGTTTTCTTGGAGTGTCTTTTGTCTTAAATACAGTTAAGTAAAATGAATTGCAACAGGCTTTTAAAGTCCAATTCAATTTTTAAATTTTAAATTGAGGCAGGGTTATTATAGTTAACAAAAACTAAAACCATTAAATAAACATAAATTATATATGTGTGTGTGTGTGTGTGTGTGTGTGTGTGTGTGTGTGTGTGTATTACTTGTGGGGGAAATGTGAACCAAAATAAAGCATTAAATATTATTTATTTATTCATTTATTTCAGCTTGTTGCCAAGGCAGTGTTTCTCATTTAAATTTAGGTTAAATTAATGTACTACAATAACTAAAACTAACACTGAAATAAAAATGTATAAGACTGATATAGACTTAAAAATAATAATAAAAATGACAAACACAACAAAATCACCAAACTTAATTGAAATGTAAATGGACAATATATTCAAACTAATTCAAAATATTAATTAAAACTTAAATAGTATCTGAATAATACTTAAATAACACTGTTTTAAAGTTGGATGTAAGGAAGTAGAATTAAAATGTTTTAAAATTAATTCATATATTGCTGTAATTTTTTTAAAGGGATGGATGGATAATATATAATGATAGATTCAGATTCAATAAATGAGCTTTTGTGGAACAGGGTGGAAGAACATGTCATTTCCCAGAATGCATTGCCAGTGTTTGATTTATTTGAATTGCAAATCAGTAGTAAAAATAAATAAATAAAGTTTGTCATGCTTTCACTTGTTATAACTTATAACAAGTTAAATACATTCAAGTGATAAAATACACTTAAGTGTATTAAAAAAATCAGAATGAGATACATGTTCTGAAAACAAGTCTTAATTTAGATATTTTTACTGGAAATCAGGTAAAAAGGATAATTAAAAACCCATTAAGAAGTCATGTTTGCAGTGTAGCAAATAGTAACATATCTGGTTTAATGGCACAGGACACTTTATCGCCCCCTTGAGTACTGGAGTTTATTACAGCCACAGTAATTCACAAACGCTGTGTAAAACGGGCAGTGCTCAAGCCAGAGAACAGAGAGGAAGTGTGTCTGTGTTCTCTACGGGCCTCTCTGCAGGAGGGGGCGATGGGATCATATGGTCTCTCTCTGTGTCTGCTGTCTCAGCACACATGCTGCTGTGGGCGACCCCACGCTGGTTCGCATGCTTTCACAGCGACTGTGGCTGCGCTCACAGCTGCAGCCCTCCTGCTCCCGGGGTGCCTTGCAGCAGCAGAGTTCTGTTTTTTTTTTTATTGGGTCATCACCCCAAAGACACCAGCTCGACGGCTTCTCCTTCAAATACCAGAGGAAATAAACAAAAAGAAGAGTGGCCTCTAGCCAGGAAGTGTTAACGATGTTTGACAAGCAGACTCAGTCCCACGTGTGCGCAGCTGTGCGCTCCAGAGCCAAACACACACACACACACACTATGTCCCACATCCCCTTCACCTGCTGCTCTGCTAGTCACACACGGCTCTCTCTGGAGCAGCCATCATGACTCCTGACTGCTAGAACGGTGAGAATGAGAGACGAAGGCACAGGAGACAAAAAGAGTGAGAGGAATGGAAGAGGAGAGAGTATGAAGGAGCAAAACTAGAAAATCTCACATTTACGTTTAAATTATTGTTATTTCTGAATAACAATAGAATCTTGAACTTTTTCCACCCTCTCTCTAACCTTTAGAATAAAACTGGCACATTTTCTTTTTGACCTTAAAGGGGTCATATCATAAATTTGTATTTTTTACGTAAAAGTTTTTTATTTTTTTACCAAAAACCAGTAATATTTTTCTTTCTCTCTGACCCTTAGAATAAAATGTTCAGATTTGTGTTGCTTTGCCTTTCGCATGTGAAATCAACAGATTTTGGAGCTTGGTTTTTCAGTACATGCTCTTTTTGGAGTTTTGAGTTCACTATGTTTTTTTATGTAGGACAACAATACATCAATATCAATATAATACTGCATTTATTTGAAGGAAAAAAAACAGTAATATTGTGAAATATTATTACAATTCAAAATAAATTTTCTTTTTGAATATATGTAATGAATTTTCAGCATCATTACTCCAGTCTTTAGTGTCACATGATCCTTCAGAAATCATTCTAATATGCTGATTTGCTGCTCAAGAAACATTTCTTATTATTACCAGTGTTTAAAATAGTTGTGCTGCTTCATATTTTTGTGTAAACCACAACACATTTTTTTCAGGCTACTTTATTGAACAGCATTAATTTGAGATGACCAGACTTTTTTTGTAATGAATGTCTTTACTATCACCTTTGATCAATTTAATGCATCCTTTCTGAGTAAAAGTATTTATTTCTTTCAAGTTTGCTGACCCCAAACTTTTGAAGGGTAATGTATGTTGATGTGCTCATTGTACTTTTACGGTTTTAAGGCATTTTGTAGTTTAGTTTCAATAGTTTGGGTGGTCTAGAGTGGGAGCTTTGTGTTGTTGCAACATTGTGTACTTAGTGCCTCAAATTCTTCTAGCTCAATAGAGCAAGAACTCCTGTTTTCCATGAAAAAAAATTTGTGAAGAGAAGAAATCAGATGATTTCGAGGCTTTAGAGAGCAGGAGCTGAGAGGGCGACTCTGCAGGTTGGAGAAGAGAAGATGAGCTCTCTCATTCTGTTCACGTCCGGCACATTTCATGCCCTCTGCTGAGCTGTTCGTCTCGGCCTGCTCCACCCTGCACATGCAGAGTTACGTACCATACGCCATATGCTTCACATCCATCAGCACAGCCAGCTGCAGGGGGGGGGGGGG